GGCTAAGATCCAGAAAACAAACAATGAGAAAAGCTTGTACGGATGTGGAGAAGAAGGAACACTTGTTCACTGCTGGTGGGAATGCAAATGGGTACAGCCACTATGAAAATTAGTGTGGAAGTTCCTCAAAAAGTGAGAAATAAATCTAACCAAAGATTCACCTATCTTACTCTTAGGCATATACCCAAAGGACTCTATATTCTATGACTGAGATACCTGCTCATCCATGTACATTGCTGCTGTACTCACCATAGCCAGGAAATGGAAACAACCTAGATATCCATCAACTGATAATGGATGAGAAGAATGTAGTACATTTACACAACAGGATATTACTCATCTGTTTAAAAAAATGAAATTACAAAACTCACAGGCAAATGGATAGAACCGGGAACAATCATCCTGAACGAGGTAACCCAGACCCAGAAAGACACACACCACATGTTCTCTTTCACATATGGATGTTCGCTTTGAATCTTTTAGATGCATGTGTTTCATTTGGAATACCCCAGAATTAAGACACTAGTAAGGGGCCATGGGGTGTGGATGGAGGGAAGAGTCATCGTGGTGCAACAAAAGCACGTCTGACTCCAAAGGAAGGGTGATAGACTACAGTGATATAAAGGGAGGAATGAAAATAATGGAACAGGAAGGATTAAGCGGGTTGGGGATGGGCAGGGGAAAAGAGGGACTAGGGGGAGGGATAACTAACACTAAAGACTTTTGTAGAAGCACATGAAAACCTACTACTGTAGAAGTTCACTAAAACAGATGCATATGCATATATAAAAAGTGTTTCAGTGGATTTACCATATAACAGGCATACAACAGCCCAACTAGACACCTCATCCTAGCAAATAAAAACCCCAGTACCAGGAATGAATTAGCTGTAATTGAGTTGTTGACCAGTGGGATCCCCATGCACCTTCAAACATTACAGACTATTGCCACTGCTCTCAGTTACCCTCCAGAAGTTGACAGTAAGACCCCATTGCTGAAGACAGCACATACTTGCGTCACAGAACATGGAAAAAATCAAGTGGGCACTGACCTGGAAGTTTTAACTCTACTGACTAGCTTTCATAGTGCTGGAAGGGGCTATGCTTGCTCTCAGAGGAGAAAAACAATCATCAGTTTTACCCATCTGTGAACTCTGAACTATAATAACCACTGTGGGCAAGATATGCCCACGAGTGCAATAGTGTAAAGATTATGGTAGCAACCAATCACCCTCTGACTGAATCTAAGGCCTGCTGCAAGACATGGAACCCATACCTGGCACCATTATTGTTAAGGCCAAGAATCTGTAGCTAAAAAAGTCATGGGCCCTTGGGGAGAACCTGCCACTAATTACTAAATGGAGACAGTATTAAATGACTCCTAATGACTTATCACTGTACTCATTGATTAGAATATCTCTCAACCCTCATCAGAGAAGCATCTTCTTGCAATAGATGGCAGTTAACACAGAGACCCACAATTGGTCAATGTACAGAGAATAAGAGACTGTTGAGTGCTCAGCACAAAGCAGGATATCTATATCACACCCCTCTCCTTAAGGTACAGGGCACTAACTTTTCAGAAGAGGGGGCAGAAAGACTGTTAGAGCCAGAGGTGGTAGATGACTACAAAGAAACAGAGTGTTTTCCAGGCCGGAGGGTTGTTGCACATATGAAGTCACAGTAATTTTGAGAGCATGCACAAGACCTGCTCAAGCCAGACAAAATCCCATCATGGAGGGGGAAAAGTGGGCATGATCTCCCATCACCAGCTGTGGAGCTATTGATATTTAACAGTTACTGAAAGAGAAAGAGTCAGTTTTCTTTAAGGATGTAAGTCCAAGTAGGTAGACCACAGTCTAGTGCAGGTTCCACACCCAAGAGTATTTGGGCAACACATATTGGACACAGTGGGGGGATGGGGAGGAGTTGGGATTGGAGCTGGGGGATGGGGATTATGGCTAAAATACACTATATGAAGTTCTCAAAGAATTAATAATTATATTTTTATTTTTTGAACTCTTACAGATTAATTAATTGCATTTTGCATTACCTGATGGTCAGAAGCCTTTGAAGATGAAGAGTGAAATTCCATGAGAATATTTCCAGAGAGTTACACTAATGAGGGAAGACCTATCCTGAATGTGGATGGGACCATCTCATTGGCTGGGGTTCCAGACCGAATAGAGGGATAAGGTGAGAGGAAATGAGATACAGAATGTGGAAGCAGAAGCAATGTGGGGATAAGGAGTATAATCTAATCTGACATCAAGATCACAAAACACACCCATAGAAACAAAGGTGAAAGATGAGATTAAATGAAGAGCAAAGATGAGGAGACAGACCAAACTTCCTCTCTGTGTGAGCAGCTGTCTATTCACCTTCCGGCCCCATAGCTGAACCTCTCCTGTCCTCACCATCTACACTGGAATTTAGGTCTTCAGAACTTTAGGTGATAATGCGGCTTAAATCACAATTACTGTTGGAGAGTTGAGCCCCAACTGCTGTTAGAGCTGATAAAGTGTGGTCACTTTCATCAAATGACCCACTGGAGTTTCTGGCTCCTTGAGTTGCAACTTCTGGGATCCTGACCAGAGCAGAGGAGCTCTATGCTAGCAAGAAAATGTCATGGCATATAATTCCCTCTGCTTAATACTTAATTGGGAAGAACACAGGTTATGAAGATGATGAGTTGGAGGGAATAAGCTGTGATATCATATGGCCTTGATCATATTAGGAGTTGGAATGTATTCTAAGAAGAAAATAGGAGCCATTGGAAAGTTGCAAGATGGGAAAATTTTGACCATATGCTAGATTAGAATGATCCGTTCAGATTCAATGTAACAAATAAAGTTGATGACTTTGAAGTGAATGTATAAATCCCAAAGTACTTGAATTGTTCCTGTAATATGCTACGAACCACTTACCTTTATAGCTGCCTTCTTTTTTAAAACTAGTTTATTTTGTGTGTATTTGTGGGAGTGTGTGGAGGTGTACGTTTGTAGTTATGTGTTCAAGTATGAGGGCATGTGCAGAGGCCATAGGAGGACACCAGGTGTCCTGCTCTATCACTCTTCCCCTTACACCCTTGGGACAGGGTCTCTCACTGAACCTGCAGCTAGACTGGTGACCAGCGACCCTCCAGTCTCTGCCTCCCACCCAGTGCTGGGGTGACAGGACTGCCCATTGTCATGCTGGACTTTTTCTGTGGGTGCTGGGGATTTTAACTCCAGATCTTATGCTTGTACCCACTGAGCCATAAACCCAGGCCTACAACCTTATTCTTCCTAAGAAATACTTCTTTATGATGTTGAAATGATTCATTCAACCACTAGGAAATTCCAGTGACTATTAGAAACCTATTTAAACAGCTCTCTGACTTCCTGGGGGTGTCAACAAGATTACTTAGAAGTTCCAGTGCTAGTGTACACTACTGCTATTCTCTTAACAGTTATTTTTATACTGCAATGGAAGTCAAACTACTACATATTTACTATGAGTCAGATACATAGGCTGTCAAGAATTTGCATGGCCAATTTTGTCTGAATCTTAGACATTTCCATTCTTAGACCCATTTGTTTCAGATGAAGAAACTCTACCCAAAGGACTATGTAATTTGCCATGGTCTGAGATGGTAAGCAGGAAATCCACACTTTATATGTGTGATTTCTAATTTAGTGTATACAAGAGTATTGAGTAGGCTAGGGTTGTAATTAAATGATTGCATTTATTTGATGAGTTATCCATATACAGTACAATAATATAAAATATTTATTTTTCTGAATTCTTGTAGAAAATTAGCTTTCTTTGTAGGAACATAATTGAAGTTACCTAGTATTAGAGACACTCATAAGAGCATGATTCATTCCACAGGTGTGCTCTGAACACTCCTGTATTTGACATACTGTGCTAGTACCTGGGGATGTGTCCTACCTTCCTATTAGGACACCTGAAATAAAGTGGACTATAAACAAAAGCATTATTATGGATAGACAAAGCAGAGGAGAAAATAGTAATACCAATGCAAATACACTTGTATCCATATAATAAATAATAACATAGCCTTAAAATAGATACAATCTATTACAGAAATGCACATGCCTTAGTAACAAAGAATAACATGCCCTGGGTGGTAACCCACAACTCTAATCCCAGCTATCTGAGTGTGGAAGCTGGAAGGCCACAGGTTCAGGGGCAATCTGAGTTACACAGTGAGATATTGTCACAAAATGAAATTTACAGAAAGGGCTGAGATAAAGACTAACTTTACAATGCTTGACATGTGTAAAGGCATCCACTCAATTTACAGTGCCACAAAAGAAAAAGAAGAGAGGAGGAGAGAGAGGAGGAAGACAGTGCAAATATATCAACAAATAAAGGAGGAAGCAAGGAAACTAGCAGAAGAGGTGCATTTTAATTTGCTATTTCGTCCTTTTTGGGACTCATCAGTACAGTGTAGTTCATTCTATAATTACTATAAATATTTTATTTCTAACATCCGATAACAAGTAATTTATTTTTCTATTGTATTATTTTTGTGTGTCTGTTTGTCTGCATGTATGTAAGTGTACCCATGTCATGCAATGCTTGCAGAGGTCAGAAGAGGGTGTCAGATCCCCTGGAACTGTAGTTAAGGATGGTTGTTAGCCATCAGGCAGGTGCTGGGAATTGAACCCAGGTCCCTTGCAAGGGCAGCCAGTGCTCTTAACCACTGAGCCATCGTCCAGCCCTAAAAGTAAGATTTAAAAAAAATAATAAGAAGAAGTGGGCCGGAGAGATGGCTCAGTAGTTAAGCGCATGCATTTCTCCTGCAGGGGGTCCAAGTTTGATCCCATCCACCTATGCTATGTGACTCAAATGTCTGTAACTCCAGTGCCAGGAAGATCATTCTCAGGGCACCCTCACATGTGTGCATACACTCACACAAAAAGTTAAAAGTATTTTAAGAGTTTAAGTAATTAGCTATCATTTGCTATGAAATAAATCCAATATAATGGTGAAATTAAAATGTCATTTGTCTTTATATCTACTTAAGACACTGTAATTGAAAACATGGACGCTGAGAACTAAAGTGTTTTTTGACAATGTTCCTAATGTTTTAAATTAAATTGTAAAGTAAATCTTAGCGTAATACTTTCAAATTCTCCTTTAGGTTGGTAATTGAACTTTGTAAAAAATTGTAGATATGACTTTGAAGTTTTTGAAGACTATGGACCAATTATCGTCTTTCTTATGATTATTAAAAATCACTTCCATGACTTTCGTTGCTGCTCTCTTTATGATCCCATGTATTCACAGCAAAGATTGACTATGTGCAAAAATTCAATGTCCCAGAAGTGGAGTTCACTTACACCGATATGATTAAACTTTAGCTTTAAAATACGAGAACCAGCTCATCTGAAAACCCCTGTGTAATTTAGAATCATTTCTATGTCCCATGTGCATAGTCCTCTAATCTGGTTTTCATCTTTGCTGTCAATACATGTATGATGCATTGGATAACAATTTGATAATTTGAATAACAGTTTGACAACTGCAGATAGCAAATTAAAATGCACCTCTGCTACAGTCTAAAAATAAGTAGAAGGTATTTGGCACTGGAGAATGTAGCTGTTGGGCTTGCTACAAATCCACTTCCTATCTGCATAGACCCTGGCACTGCTAATTCCATTGTCATTCAGGTAGGCGTGTTCTCCCACTCCTCGGATGGAAACCCTAAAACAAAAACAAAAAGAATAAATCTGCATAGGCTGCAAATACGTTAACTCCCGCACTGGAATCTCTATTGTTCCCACTACATATTTTTAATATGAAAGAAAGAAAAAAGTCCATCACGAACTATTTACACTATTTTTGTACTTGGTTTCTTTTACATTCTCAAGTTCTTTGAAAATCACGCCTTTGCAGTTCATCCACTCCAGACCCTGTTATGCACTGACAAGGTATGTAACTGCTGCTTACTGCCATGTACAAATGAACTGCTGCTATGGTGACCTCACTGAGGGTGACTTTTAGTCTTATCTGGAACAGTTCCATACGTTATCAAGGTGAAGAAAGGCAAAACCTTCCTAGTAAATTGCTTTTTAGCTTAGCGTCAGTGATGGAAGTGATCGGATCTCTATATTTTATTTTTAAAATGAAATGCCTATATTCACAGTTCAAGAACTATTTCTGGGTTCTTTCTGATGACCAGACATTAGGAGAGGTCCCCACTGCTCCCTGGAGTCTGTTTTTGTGAACAGATCAGCAGTGCAGAGTGGACTTGAGAATCTGATCCCCGCAGTTCTGCAGTGGCTTTCAGAGCCCTCTGCGCATGTGCGGTTCTGTCTGCATTCCACTCGCGATTTATCAGCAAGGAAAAGTTTTGAGTCACTGGGATCAAGAGCTACCCCAGATGTTATCTTGCTAAAGATTTGAAGTAAAATTGCAGTAAGTAAAAGCTTTCCCAAATCACAGCTAATAAGAGGAAGAGCATTAAAAGGATTTAGATTTGTGGGGATGTGGAGTTTGCTGGGGATTGGCTCATGTGTGTCAGCACACTCTACCTCTGCGCTACATCTCAAGTCCAAAGGTTTGTGTATCCTCCTTCCTAGTACAGTAAGCTTCACAGGATGCTGCCTTTTGCCTCTCAGAACTACAACTCATGCATATAATGACACAAGAACACACCAGAAGGAAAAGTCCCCAAACATACGTGTTGTTGTATTCAGTGTTGTCTGTCCACTTCCAAGGCTGTCCTGATGATTCTCTGTGCAGGCCGATCCAGTGATCAGAAGGGCCTTTATATCTCCTCAGGAAATTCTGTCAGAAAACACAGAAAGCAAATGCATGTGTCTCTGTTTCAGATGACCTTAAGTCTGGCTACTCCACAGCCTCCTGTTGGGATGGCAGCAAGTGTCATTGAGGAGCACAGACTCTCAAGCCGGTGGAGCCATTTGCTGTCTCTAATAAAGTACTTTATTTTAATGACATTACATTCCACTGTGACTGGGAAAGTCCATGATTATGCCTGTGGTTCCAGGATCATATTAATAGCCACCTGCAATATGCAACCCATGTATGAAAATTTACATAGTTACCAAATCTTAGAATGGGAGCACTATGTCTAACCTTACAGGCTGCATGTGAACATTACATGAGAGAATCCGTCTGCCTCAGGGCTCCAGGCAGAAGTGATGCCATCAACAAATTGCACACATTAATATGCACCCTGTGTCCCTGTTTCTGCTAGGGATGGGATCCTTCCTCCTGCTTCAGCTTTCAGCTTCCCCCTTAGGGCACTAAATATTCAGTAGAAAAAGGGTTCCGCCAATATTTCTTACCAGGTCTTCCAGATTTTCAAACTGAGCGAGTACAGCTTGCAATGCCATACAGAAATTCTCACTGTGTGTCCAATTTCTTGTGTCTTCAGAAAAATAGTAGCATTTATTTCCAAATCCAATCCAGTTTCTTGGGCAGGAAGGATAGTAGATAGGGTTCGAGATGGCCTGTTCTGGCTTTCTCACTAGAATGTAAACAATACAATGAATTAATTATATAGATGTTTCCATGTCTCCTTTTTTTCTGCCTGCCATCCTGAGCTCAGCTATGAACTAGGCACTTGAAGTGTAGTTTTCCTAACTCATCACTCAGAGTCCCCTTCTCAACATGATGGTCCTTCATCCTGGACCTTCCAGCCAGGGCCTGTGTCCCATTCTCTCTGAGGTGCTCACTCATAATATTGGCTTTGAAGAAATGTGTGTTATAACATCATTGTTTGTTGTGCTTTGGGTCACTGTTTAGTAACATAAGGGATACTAGAACACAAGCACTGCAGGGTCTCCTATCATGACAGTCTATCTCAGAACTGAAACAGCACTGGTGGCTACTGGGCAGGTAGTGTATTCAGTGTGGAAAAGTCGCACTAAGGGATAATTCACATACCAGGGGAGGATGAAGAGGATGGTACAAGATTTTTATCCCACTTCTCTGAACAGTGTGCAACTAAAGACCTTTAAATTAACCATTTCATGAATTTTCCATTTAAAATTTTCAGTCCACAACTGAACATCACCGAAACCTTGGGTAATAAGAGAGCGCTCTACTCATATATTTCTTCTCTGCCCTCACTCCTGCAGCTGCAACAACCTCCTTGAGATTCATTGGCTCACCTTGTTCTCCGTCTTGAATAGTTTCCAAGGTAGGCATGTGGCTCCTGCATCTCCTTCAAGAGGATGCTGAAACCTCATCTTCCCAAGGAGGCTGACCTGCCTCCCTGCGCATTCTGAAACCTGCTCTACTCCTTCACTTGTTTATACTGCCTGCGTCTTCCTGCTCTACTGTAAGTTCCCAGGAACAGGGGTTTGAGATGTATTTTATCTCAAGACTTACCACAGTGCCCAACATATAAGACCCTCGGTAAGTATTACTGACAGTATAACTGTGGACCTAACACTGTACAATTCAGAGAATAAGTACCTTACCTAACAAAGCAACAGAAAGCCCAACTACAGCTGCAGTGAGGACAGTGGTCAGCAGACAGCAGAGGCAAAGCTTGGTGGATGTTACAGGAGAAGCAAGTGTTAAACATTTTCTTTGGAGTTTTTTACCTGCAAAATAGAAATACCAGAATGTCAAGTTCAAGCATCTTTTGGAGGGGCAGAGAGATGGCTCAGCAGTTACAAGTGCTTACTGCTTTTGCAGAAGACCCAGGTTTGTCTCCCAACATCCATATCAGGTGGCTTACAACTGCCTGTAACTTTAGTTCCAAGGAACCCAATGCCCTCTAGCTTCCAAGGGCAGCTGCAAACATGTGGTGCACATAAATCATGCGGGCACACACACACATACACATAAACGTAAGACTCTTTTTTAAAATAATCTTTTAGGGAGAAAAAAATCACTTTGCTACAAAATCAGTTCTCTCTGTGGCCTACATTCTCCTACTGCACACTCCTCCCACAAACGGTCCTGGTCCAAAAATGATATCCATGGCTCAAATAAGACCAGAGATAGTGGAAATAGAATGTTAGCCAGGGAATGTTTCAGTTGTCAAAATAAGGGCTAATGGACGAGCAGGAAACAAAAAGAGTGGAAGTCATGATGAAAAAGAACCAAGACAATAATCATCTAGATTTGACCCATAAGAGTCCTGTTAGGAGGACTGAGTGAAACAGAAAAACATCAGTGAGACAGCTATGGTGGTGAACTCCTGTAATTCTAGTACTAGGGAGATAGGAGCAGAAGGATCAGGAGTTGTAAGTAAATAAATGTAATCCAATGTATTAACATAAAAAAGCAAAACATAGGAGTCCTTCAATAAATTCACCACAATCATGTGAAAACTATAATGAATCCATCATAACAGAACTTTCCACAAAGTTGAAATTGAAGGACCATGTCCCAAATGGGTTTAAAGATAGAATATAGTTCTAATAATCAGACTGCTAGGATTCTGTTTAAAAAGTAATTTAACAATTACTTAAAGGGCAAGAGAACTAGGGCAGCCATAGCAGCCTGGTAAGGGAAGCCAAATTTGGCAAAATGGCACTGCCTAATTCCATAGTAAGAACAAGGAGAATAAGCATGGTTTGGGCAAAAGAGAAGCTGCATAAATTAAAGGAACAGAAGCAGAAAACAAATAAACAAACAAACAAACACTTGCGAAAGGAGGCCAAGCATGTGTGGTGACATATTTTGGGTGGAGAACTTGCTGAACACCATCCTCTCACAGAAGATGCCGACCCTGGCATCCCTGTGCATCCCTGTCCAACCTGTTCCACACCACCTTCTTTATCGTGGCCTGTATCACCCACATAGCTTTTAATATATGGTGCTGAAACAATTTGAATAGACTAAAAACTCACATTTCATTATGCCTCTAGAAGAGGACCCAAACACAATCCCTCTAACTACAAAGCTCTTTGGAGAAAAGAGAAAAAGAAAATCTTTATCAACTTGTCTCAGGAAAAAAAAAAATGCCTTAGAAGTAATACCAGAACTATTGTTTATATAACAGAAATTTGAAAATTTGGACTTTCACATAATTTAAACTCTCTTTTCCGATTCTTAAAAAGAGAATTTAAAAAATAGTCTTCTTTGTTGCAAGACATGGATCTAAAAATAAGTTGTGTCTAGACTATAGAGAACTCTGAAAACTCAATTATTTAAAAAAGGATTAAAAACAGGCCAAAGACTTGAATGTACACTGACCAAAGAAGACACGTGAATGGTGACCATGTGCATTAAATATGCTCAACATTACCAATGTTAGTGTGGAGAAAACAGTTGACTAGCATTCCAGTCATTTGTTAAAATAAGAATACATTTGCCCTATGCCCTGGCTCTCCTACCTGTACACAGTACAGTAGCTCTATGGATTATTATTTTAAAAATAATAATTTTGCAACAATTCAAATATCCTGGTGCTTGTGGCAAGATAAACCAACACTGCTCAGCACTGGGGGGAAAGTTAGGAAGGAAAACTTGGACCACACACTTGCACATGTTCCTCAGGTTGCTGTCCTCCAAAAGTCCCTAAACCGGGACTTGCCTGCAAGCTTCAGTAACCTCAAAAATGGTGTGTTTGGGGCTAGAGAGATGGCTCAGTGGTTAAGAACACTGGTTGTTCTTGTAGAAGACCTGGGTTCGAATCCCCGCACCCATATGGCAGTTAACAATTGTCTGTAACTCTAGTTCCAGGGGATCTGACAGCCTCTTCTGTCCTCTGCAGGCATTGCACACACAGGTGCCCTTACCCATATGCAGGCAATACATGCATACACACAAAATGAAAATAATAAAAAACTGGTGTGTACAAAAATGGTCCACTTTGCAGCCTATTTAGAGACTCTTGACCACAAGACTATTTTATACCTATCAATCCAACTGTCGCAGGCTTGCTTCCTCCACTCACTCACAAGTTTCCTGCCAGCTGTCCTTAGCTTTTGCAATGGTGAGATGCTCACAAACTTCTGAATTAGAGCACTACTGTTCCTCCATAGTGTTTTGGAATACAGGCTCTCACATCTAAGTCCAGCTGTGCTGTATTTGCCAAACTATTAATACACTCTGCACTGTGGATTATCACATGCATTACCTGCTGCAGGATCCATTTATATGACATTCTGGAAAAGCCAAGTGTCAGGGTAGAAAAAAAGGCCGGGAGTGGGCACAGCTAGAGACAGAGGAAGGGAGTGTCTGAAGAGGGACACTGGGGCATTGGGGCAGGGTGTGGGTCTGTAGTCTGACTGTGGTGGTAACTTCATGATTATATGTTTTCAAAAGTCAAGAAATGTACACCAAACGTGTGAATTTTACAGAATGTAAATTATGCGTTTT